CTCTTCCCCCCCCCCCCCCCCTCCCCCTGTTTGTTTGGGGTATTTCTTCTGAAAATTACCATCTACACCAATGAAGTGAGACAAGGTAGCAAGCATTTCTGGGACTACAGGAAACTTACCTACAATAATTCCTACGCATCATATATATCCAGTCGCTATTCTCTTTAATAGTGCCCACACCATTTTCTGAACAAATTTAAGGATACTTTACAAGAGAAAATGAACATTTTAGCATTCATAGGTTGTTCAGGGTACCTTCTAAAGGTATATAAAAATACAACTGAAAAAATACCATGAACACATTCCCAATCCCCATGGTTTGCACACGCAAAACTTGCTTGTCTTCTGAAGTAGTATCTGAGCAAGATGAACATGGGAGCTGACACTTCATGACAAGGTTTCATTCACCTGAATGCCATCTGTATCTACTGCAATGCTATAAACTATTCATATGGAAGTTTTAATACTGAGTTTTGCAGACAATTCATTTGTATTATCTTCAGTTACTAAAAATGGGTTAAAGATATAAGCATTCATATGCCATGTAAATCCACAGCTCAAAGTGCAAATACATGGTAAGATTTTTTCCTCTTTCCTCTCATCCATTTTGTTTTCTCCCTGATATTCAGCGACAAAGTGATGCATAAAAATGAATCAATACCTTTGGTATTTTGACAAGCTTTTTCTTTAACAGCTTCAAATACTTTCCCGTCTATTTAGTTTATTTTCTTTCCCTGTGATTTCAATCCTTTTTCTTGGATGAGAAGTATCAAAGATGATGAACGAGCGAGCATGAAGAAATGCATGGTGAAAAGAATGAAAACCTCAGTGATGCTGATGCAATATCAGGAGGGGTTAAGCCCACAACTGAGAAAGACACTTCAGATCCTCCTTCCGGCTACAGAAGCATTTTCTTCTTTAGTATGGGACAAATAATTCAACTTCCCTCATTCAAATTTCCTACCTAAAAATGGGTCAGAATCACAGCACCTAACACTTTTTAGTAGTATTACACACATTAAAAAATATTCTATCCAAAAAATATTCACAAATAGAAAAATAAAGCAAATATTTTAGTCAATTAATTGCAACTGTTTAAAACAGGAATATGTAATTGCTTGAAACCTTGTTATTATGGATCATATATTCATTCCTTAGCAGAAACAAGCGATGTTTCTTCCATAAGCCTCTCTAAATCCAACAGATCAATAATGATGACACTGGTATCTCTACATGTACACCAGAAAAAATGCATCACTCATGATGATTGCATCTCCTCCAGTCGTTTAGCATTATAATAGCAATATAATCCATGTGCTGGGAGACTAACACACTCTCTGTCTCCAGTATGAAAATTAATGTCTTGTTCTTTATGGAACAGGAGGCCACTATGCTACGGTCCTGTACTTTGCCATTTAACCTGTCACATTAATACAGAAATTTACCATTCTTTGTCTCAATGGCATGCTATTGGTGATCTTAAGTACATATTTATTTTTCAATAAAGCCCTCTTTTTCACTGACAGAGAAATGCAAAATTAAAACATGCATCTATGTAATAGGAAATATCCCAATGACTATGTAACACCATGTTCCAATCTGATGGAGGATTTTGGTCAGCTGTAACACAGATTTTTTTTAAACTATACTTTTATTTGCATGCACACGTGAAAGGCTTGAAGTTTCACTGTGGCAAAGACATTTCTACTATCAAAATGTAGTTGAAGCCCTATGTGGTGATTGAGTCATTATTACGGTCTACAAATATATCAAAGATGTGCAGTATGTTTTCTTCTTCTCCAGGGCAGAAGAGCCAAGAGCATTTAAATTCTTCTATTTTTGTGTTACAATGAAAAATAGCAGTCTGAAAAACCAATTAAACTAGTCACCCTACTTCAGCTCCATAAACATTATTTAACCAGAAGTTTAAATTAATCCACCCTAGACTAGGGATCACTCACACCAGTTCAGAACTGAGAGAAATACTTTTAAGCAGCGAAACAGTCGTGCTGAAAGATAATTCATCTACCAAGCAAAAACTCCTCAGGAATTGCTCAAAGGCAAAAATAAAAAAAAGAAGATAAATAAATTTAGAAATGCTCTTTAACATTGAGGCCAGCATTACTTTGTGATGTATATGAAAACACTTTCTGAAAATAGATGCAAATGTCCTTGGTGGTGAGGTGAGTTAGAACAGAGTGGAAGAGAATTCCTGTCTCAGCACCAAGAAATAATGTTACTCATTTGTATTGTATTTGTTTGGGTTTTTTTAAAGACTGTAAGAGAACAGGAGTAAAAGGCTCAGAGCTACTAAAACTGCATTAACTGTGCACACAAAGAGAAAGAGAAGAGAGGAAAAAGGTTGGTCCCTACCATCTCCAACAAACTGAAGGAGGGCTAGGTCAATTTGTCTCTTCCAAGGTGATCCTTTCTGAAGTGCTATTCCATAGCCCGTAGTGGCAAAGATGTACCCACTCCCAATTGTGACAAGTTTGCAGCCTTCATCTCTTCCAGCCTTGTAATTCAGCACTGCTGCATCATAGATGAAAGCATCCAACTTCCTGAAATAAAAGAAAACATTTTACAAACCAAATCATTAGGGACAGCTGTTGTCAGACTTCTTTTGTCCTTGATGTTAGGACCCTGTTGAATATCATATGGATTCTTTGATATCATTAATTACATATCCTGCTCTGCTGTATCTAAAATTAACAAAAGGCATCTATTTTAGTGAGGGGAAAGTAGGACACATAGTTTTGCATTTCTATTTTAAGAGATGCTGTTAAAAAATACTGAGCAGGAGAAACCAAGCTACAAAATGTCTTGCCCTGTTATCTTTGTATTTTTGCTCTCAAAATCTCAAAATAAATATCTTAAGATGGAAAATGATCTCCAAAAGCAACACAAGTTACAATAGAGAATTTAGAATTGAAACAACAATAACCAATTAGCTTATTTAAAATACTGAATAAGACTGAAAACGTGACTTCACCAGTTTTACACACACACTGTTATTTTATGTCTTTTTCCAAAAATAAACAATGAAGGTGGAGGTTAAGTCCTTGCTAAAACAAAGGAATGTATTGGAGAATATCTGATATTACTATCTAAATCCTGCTTTAAAATTATAAAAAATATTTCTTTATGATTTGCTGTTCCAAACATATTATTTTTGTACCTGGAGCACAGCAGGAACTTGTGGAAAATTTCAAGCCTTTCAGCCCACCTACCTAAAAACATAAGAATGGGATAATCCCATTCCTTAAGTTATACAGGGAACACAAAAAAAATAGAAGAAAAGGAAACCAGTAAGGGAAGGAAAAAAGGCAGTGTTCTTCAGGGATAATTTTTTTAAGTACTGTAAAGCAAGTGTTAGAAGAGACAGGGGCATGGATATTTCACAAAATAAAAGTGCATCTACTATAAGCCAATTAAAGCACATACACAGGAAGAGGAGGCTGTTTAGAAGGACAATCACTTGCCAGCAGTAGACCTCAAAGAAAGAAAAGACATTCTACAAAAATTCATATGCAATCTTTAAATGGAAAAAAGTAAAACTTAAGTATATTTTGTATTGCTGCCCTCTTCTACAGCCAAACCCTTTAAGATTTCTACCACTTGCACAAGATTAGCAGAATATAGAGGTAATAGGAAAAACCTACCCTCTCAGTCCAAACCCCACCTAAATGAGACACTTAAACAAAATTATTACCTTCCCCAGCAACATATTCTCCCTTTTCAACATCTTTGCCCATCCCATAGGAGTCAGAGCAATGGGGAGGACACAGCTACACCATGGGCTTCACAGGTTGGTGCAGGAGGAGTCTCGCCCTGCCACCCTCACTGGCACTGCCTGCCCTGCCTTTGAAGAGCTGGAAGGCATTACTATGGAGCTCTGCTAACATCTTCTGATGGGATGCAAATGAAAAAGGCTGGCAAAATGCTGTTCATAAACAGTTGGGACCTGTCTTCATGGAAAGGGAATTAGAAAAATAAATTAATTGTGGCACGAACAGGTATAAGAGCATCAACTTCAATTATATTGTATAGGTATGTACCAGTTGTGAATTCTGCTGGTGTTGAAGTTTTGGAATCATACTTGCCATTAGCTTAAATCAGTTTATGTTGATTAAGCTTTTCATTTATATCCACAGAACAGAGAAAAACCTAGGCATATCAGATTTTGGCTGCTGACAGAAAAAGAATATACTTCCATTCATGATATAATTCAATGTTTATTCTTAAATAATCAATTAACAGATTCATACAGAACTCTAACTTTTGTGGAACTCTAGAACAGATAGCAAAAACGTGGCACTAAAAAACACCCCTATCCATCTCACGTTAAACCAAGAAAAATACCAGGAGAGGGTAAGGTTGTTGGATTTTGTCTGCTGCTACGAAAAAGTGAAGTTCCTGTCACTACTTCTGTACTTTATTGCTTCACTTCAAGGATACTTACCCAAACAGTCACCATTCCAGCCATCAAACCAGAATTTAGTGAAGTAGTTAATTTAGGGAATGTACAGGTGGCTTATGCAACCATTAAAAGAAACAGCTGGGCCATCATTTGTTTTGGCTTTTCCACTCTTCCCCAGGACTCAGTACAATCCTCAGCTTAAAAGTCAGCTTAGCTCCATCAATGCTAGAAGTCTGACTCTCTCCTTCCTTTAAACAGGTAATTGAACATGGAGAAAAAAAAATGCTAAAGAGCTGGACAGGGATGTGTCACAAATTCAACTCAGAAACAAGATATAGCTACCCAGCACTGAGGGTAACTGAACTGGAAACAGCCAAGAGGCAGTTCTGGAGGGTGGGACACTGCCCAAGCCTGTAGCCTTCAGCACCAGGCCAGTCTTCTAAGTGATGTGCTTTGATTCAGCACTTTGGAGGCAATCTTTGGTTTGAGTAGAGAGAAAGAACAAAAATCCATGTCCTTTTGGTAGGCACACAAGGGGATAAAAATAAGAAAAACAGTTTGCCATACCCTCAAAATACTTGTAGCAATTCTGATCTACAGCAGACAGTTACCATAATCAATACAATCCAATTTCATGCTTTTATCTGTGGGGAAGGAAGGATATTTCCCCTCTCAGTGGATACCTTTGGCTCAAACAAGGGGTTGGAAGGTAATGCTCCTCTCTGTGGGTCCTGACACTGTCGCAACAAACTGGCTTAAGTTAAATACACTCTTGAATTTGGCATCTGTTTATTCTGTGATTTATAGTTCTGCAATGTAGGGATATAAAACACATGCTGGTAAACATAGAGAAAATAGAAACAGTCAGCTCTTCTTCTGTCAAAACAGACTCGGTCAGAAACACAGAGGAAAAAGGTATCTTTGCTAAAGACTCCAGGGCAAAAGTCTTCTGCTACCCCAGAAATCACACTCTACACATGTAGCTCACCTCCTCAGTTATTCGGCAGTTTAGGAAAACCTTGGGACAGAAAGACAAGAAGCAATCACAGTCTCACTCATTCACTGTGGCTCCCTCCCCAGCTTCCCTTTAGAGAGGCTGGTATCAGCTGCAGTGGATACACACAAGGAAAGCAGGTTCTGAGCACACAGAAGGCTTTACTTGAGGGTTTTCTCTATACTATTCTATAAGGTCACAATAAATCTTATTATGCAAATCAATTTAAAAACATGATGCTGAGTGCTGAAAGGTTCTGCTATCAGTTGCTGCCCAGTGCCTGAACCGTAAACCAAAAAGTTGATTGCCTTGAAAAAGTCTTTCTCTCTACAAATGCAAACTCATATTCAGAATATATTTTCTCCATTTCCAACACAAATCTCATAACCTCTCAAGGCTTAATTATCTCTTCACCCTGTGCTGATTACAGAAGTACTATTCCTTGCAAAGCAAAGCTTCAGAACATGATGTACCCCTGCAGCGTGGGCAGGGAGTAACAAGCCACGAGTGAAGCTCAGATGTTAGGGCACCCAACTCTTCCCTCACTAGGAGGTGAATTTCCTCACACTCTGACTTCTTAAGAACTTTCAGACAACTTTAAACATTCCTCAATAATAGTTTCCAAAAACTGAGACAGCATAATCTGGGAAAGTCTGAAAATTTGACCCTTTCCCAGCTGTTTGAAGGGATGGCAGTGAGCATAAGCTCCGGAAGAAGACATAGGCAGCATTTGAGCAGGCCAGCAGGCTGCTGGGGCTGCAGAGGACCTTCCTTCCTGCTACGTCTAGGTGGGGAAAGCCACATCTGCTGCTTGGCTTGGCACTGCCCGCAGAGCCAGCTGTGTGTGTGGCAGTGATGGCTGAAGGCAGTAGCCCATCCTTGCCTTGCCATTCTCAAGGCAGGACTGGGAAGCCTGAAGCTGTGCTCTACACCTCACCCTTTTCCTCTTACTCTTCTTTTTCCACAGAAGGACCGGCAAGCCCCAGGATCTCTGTTCTTGTGGCAGCAAAATTCAGCTGTGCCACAGAGCTGAGAAGGTTTGTATTGTTCTGAGTGCTGACCACTCTGCCATTTAAGTTACATATTCACTGTAAAGCAGCTTAAATGCACTGAGTACAGCTCCTCACATCAAGAAAGGCTCAAAGCCTCCTGCAATCCTTAGTCACACAAAAATGAATCAATTAACTTGTCACTTCAATGCAGCCACTTCAGGGGGCGAAAAACTTTATCACATTGTGTAGGTTTAAAAAAACTGTGAAGAATTATTAGAAAGACAAAAGAGAACTACAGAAAGTGGAATGCAGCAAGAAACAAGATTTATAACTGCCACAAACTAGCCAAACACACCAGGCCTCTTCAGTGAACACAGAGGAAGAAGACTACAGTGCTGTGATTCATCTGAGCAACTGGCAGGTTTGTAAACTTCCTCTGAACTACTGCAATAATCCTGGGTAGGACAGAAAATAAACATTTGGGGATATTTATATAAGAGAGTCTACAAAGGCAAATGTCCTTCATTACCTAGCAAGCACAAAAGAGAAAAGGGGATGGGGAGAATTCTAGCTCACACAGCACAGGAGCACATCAGGTGTTGCAAAATTATGAATTGGAATAGTTCTAAAATAACCCGAAAGAGCATTACGGAATGTAATAATTTGAAGTGGGAGATCTGTGAAAACCGAATGTGGACAGTCTTGTACCTAAACATTTATGAGTCATCGAGAAGTATAAGAGTTGAAAAATCAGAATAGCTATTGCAAAAACCCATTCTCTAAAGTGTTGCTGTACACATTCAGAAAATGCCTGTGTAAAGAAAATTAAAGTTAGAGGAAAAGGTACAGAAAAGTCATTTCAGAAAAGCTGAAAATACTTCCCTACAATTTTTCCCATCTTTATTATCGGCACATACTTTTCACCAAATTCCTATGATAAAAATTGAAAAGCAGGATTAAGAAAATGTCCCTTTATTAGTCATCGCTTCTTCCTCAACAACAGAAGTATAGCTCACTTGAAAAATCTTACTTTGCTCCCTTAAGCAAATAAATGATCCTTCAGGGATTTTGTTTTCTTGATGGAAAGAAGAGGGAAAAATCTCAAATGGGGATCTGCTCCATAGTTCTGGAGACACAAACAATAATCCAGCATGC